TCTCTTCTCTTCTCTTCTCTTCTCTTCTCTTCTCTTCTCTTCTCTTCGAGAAAATTGAATCGAGTTTTACCTTCCGCCAACTGTTTTATTAGCGAGTAAATTTTTTACGTTCATAGCTTTACAAACCCGACTGAATAAATACCTAACAAGCTTTCCATTCAAAATCGGATAAAATACAGTTTCACTGTTTAATTTAATTTCACAAATATTATTTGAAACAAGCGAAAACGGTTCAGTTTTTCCGGCTTCTTTCCAGGTCAATTTAATAAACTGTATTCTTTCGAAATTTTCTCTTTAAAATTATTTTCGCAATATTTAAATTTTTCGCCATTCGCAACATGCATAAATTCTCGAGTTCATTTTTTCCTCTCTGCATTAATACACTCGCGTTAGCAAGATGAATAATTGCACCCCAAAATGGATGAAGGAAAATATGAATGTGAAATCGCTTATCTCGAATTTTGTCCGTTCACCGAAAAAGAACCTCAATCTATGACGAAAACTAATCCTAAAAAATTGCAGTAATCTACAAAAATTGGTCAATTTACATTATCTACCATACTCATATTTTATTTTCTGCACCGCGTGAAATTATAAATAAAATTCAACTAGAAATTTCATAACTTTGAATAACTTGTTCTCTCAACTCTGAATTTTCTTTCTTAAGAAGTTACACGCGATAAATAATAAAGCATTAAAAAATATAACACGGACGAATCAAACAGATGTAAACTCCACCAAACTATATATTTGGAAGGAAATCCTCTCAGAGAAATTGTCATCAATATCAACACTTAAATAAATATCCCCAAAGTTCTGAATAGTTTAAAAGTAACCCTGAATGAGCCGTGCAAAGTTGCAAAATTGCAGAATCAAGGAAAAAAGCTTAAAAAGCTGCAAGTTTCGTCTCGTTCCATGATTGAACTTTTACTCCACTTATCTATATCCTATTTCGCTTTGGTGCCACTCACTGTGGTTGCTCTTCACTATATTTTTTTATTCCTGAATTCCTTTTTCTTTGTCACTCGCCGAATCTCAATTTTGTCTTTAATGGCGACACAAAATGAGAAATATGTTTCCATCAATAATAGTAATGCTTATTATTACTATTATTACTGCGGATTTTCATACATTTATAGAAAATATAAAAGTGTAAAATTGTACAAGATGCACATAATATGAAGAAATATGTAAAATATCTAAAATACTTTCTATATCATATTTGGTATGTAAAATAATTTCTTATCCAGATTCTTTTTTATATTCTCTTATATTCTCAAAAATAATTATCTGCATAACAATTCGCAGTCTATTTATTACTATATATACATTTATTTTATATAAATAACGAGAGAAAGACCGAAATTTTACTTTTTTTTCATAACAACCAAACGATCGAATTTTATGATTACAAATATTAAATGTTAGTAATAGTAGCTTTGCTACTCGTATAAGTATTTTATATATATATATATATATACTTATTAATATATATATATATTATATACTATATATATATTCATTATTATATTACATTATTATATATATATTATATATTATATATATATTCATTATTATATTACATTATATATATAATACTTATATATGTTGGAATATATCGATGAATGCTGCGAGATGTTGAGTGTGTGAGTGTCTTTTGTCGTCAACCAAACAAATGAACTCCGGCTTCGCGTGCAGTTCTCTAGAGACGTCGTTCAAAACGTACTATATTTTTTCAACCAGTATATTATCGCGTATTGTTATTAAATAATTAAATAAACTCTGACAGATTATGGGCCCAGAACGGTTCCCGTGCGCGAAAATTGTGAGTAAAAATTAATCACATGTGACGAACCTGAATAAATAAGTGAAAGAAAAAGAAATCGTGGCGTCTATGCACAACCTTTCGAACATAGATAGACTAAATGACAATAATTATGGTTTGTGGAAAGTGCATATGAAAAGTGTCCTCGTGACCTACAATGATTTATGGTTAGTCGTTGATGGAAGTGAAGTAAAAACGGAACAAAACGAGGTAGAATGGACAAAGAAAGATGGAAAGGCACTTGCATTAATAAGTGTAATATAAGGTCAACTCATGTACGTAAAAAAGGCTAATACATCAAAAGAAGCATGGGAGAAATTAGAAAATGCGTTTGAATCAAAAGGTCCCATGAGAAGGAGGACGCTAATCAAAGAATTGGTTCGTATGCAGAAACAATCGAATGCAAGCATGACGCAATACGCGAACAAATACGAACACAAAGTTGAACAAATCCAAGCGGCAGGCATAGAGCTGCCGGATGATTTATTGTCGATAATGATGTTAGCTTCCTTACCACCCGACTATATTTAATAAGAATTTTACCGTAACGATTGAATCACGTGATGAACTACCCTCGTTCGAATACTAAAAACGAAGTTAAAAGAAGAGGAAAGAATGAGGCAGAATGATCGAATGGCCAAATCACGCCAAAATGAAATTTGATTTCGTTACGAAGAACAACAAATCGAAATATAATCAAACAAGTACGTATGCTAGAAAGGAAGAAATGGTACACAAAATAATCAGAGATACAACAAAAACTGTTTTGAGTGTGGTAAATTGGGCCATATAAGTCGTAATTGTCCGTTCTAAAATAAATCATAATAATTCCCGTTCAGCATTGATGGCAATCACTTGCAATACTGAACTCGCAAAATCAAGTAATTGGTGTTTGGATAGTGGTGTGACGGAACATATGTATAACTCGAAAAACGAAAATTTTCCATGTTAAAGCAAATGAAGCGAACAAACGTTTGTATAGCTGTAGACTATTCTGTAGAAGCATGTA